GATGGTTAGCTGGGAAGAGGATGGGGTTGTTAATTCCAGGTTGGGAAATTCCTTGTGTATTTCAGGGGTGGAGCCTGGAGAGGGTGGGGTTTGAGGAGGTTGCCACAGTAAATTGACACTGAGTGCCCAAGGCCTTGGCACTCTCCCAGAGCCTCTTTCTAGAGCTCATTGTATTTATTTCCACAGCAGGCCTTATTCCTAATAAGAACATAAGTAGAGCACTGCTAGATTAGACCAGTGGTCCATCTAGTCGACAACCTGTTTCACACTACAGCCACCCAATTGCCCAGGAAGACTAAACAAACAGAGAATAGAAGTCAAAGCCTTCCCCTGATGATGCTGCCTAGCAATGGATATGAAAGGTTTGTTTGCCTCTGTATCAAGGTTCTGGGGATGATGACACCATGGGCCCACATTGTTCCCTTTATTCACCATGGACAGTAGCTGCTGATGGATCTCTCCTCCACAAATTTGTCTAAAGCCCTTCTAAAGCCAGCTATGCTTGAGGCCATCACTACAGCCTCTGGCAGTGAATTCCACAGTTTAATTACTGATTGGATAAAGAAGTATTTTGTTTTGTCTATCTGAACCTACTTACCAACAACTTCACTAGGTGCGTCTTGAGTTGCTTGGGGAGGGAGAAAAATCTCTATCCACTTTTCTGAATGTTTATCACACTGCCAATACTCAGGAATTATATATGCATGCATATACGACAATATCAATATACGGTATACACACCTTGCACTTTAAGAACATAAGAGAACATAAGAGATGCCAATGTTGGATCAGGCCAAAGGCCCATCCAGTCCAACACTCTGTATCCCACAGTGGCCAGAAATACCAGTGCCATCAGGAGGTCCAGTAGTGGGGCCAGGAAATTAGAAGCCCTCCCACTGTTGCCCCCCCCCCAAGCACCAAGATGACAGAGCATCACTTGCCCCAGAGTCCCTATCTATACCTTGTGGCTAATAGCCACTGATGGATGCTTATGACTTCACTGGTGTTTCCCATTAAGATAAAGCTAACCAGTGCTAGCCACACTAAATACCTCCACAGTACAGATCCCTTCAGTAGCAGCCAGCTCTTCCTTGGCACTAGAATAAAATATTTAAATGCCAAGTAGACTGGCTTCTGAAAGTTTGCAAAAGTCAAATTAAGGATGAATTTGTTCAAGTTAACTCTCTTGTGTATGGCTTTTTACTCCATGTTTAAGTCCTTCCTGGACCATGGAGTTAGTGTCAGATACATATACTGTCGGTTCTTATACTTGCAATTTTTGAAATACTTTTCTCCCAAATATTTCCTGTAAATTGTTTGTGTATATTATATTATACATGCACAAATTACTATGATTCACTGAATTTATATCATACACAGTATACATGTTATTGTACAGTGGTCCTAGACCACTACATCCTTTGAATTCAGATGTGGATCTAAACACATCTGAGAAAATGCATTACATGGTTCCGGATATTTCAAGGAGGAGTTGAAGTAGCATTAAAGCCAATAGACCAGGAAATCCTCTTAGACAGTTAATCTTTGAGCAGCAAACAATCTTGCACAAACTGAGGGCCCCTGCATCAAAGGAAACCAAATGCTGGGGGATTTGTCCATTATCTATACAGTGCAGCAGTGGACACTTTACAAATACAAGGCAGTTGAATGCGCTATGCAACACCCGCCCCTCCCCAAAACTGGCACAAACAATGTACTTCATGGATGTCATATGCATGGTTATGCTAAACATGCCATCAAAGCAACCATGAAGCCAACAATCTTCCCACGCTAATACAGGAGTACCCATGCAGAGGAAAGCTGTAAGCAAAAAGGTCAAATTTTATCTAAAGAAGATTTAAAAGTACTATGGAAATCTCACATAAATCAAGACCAAGGCAATATTTAGAAAGTGCTGTCACCTGTTTATGAAACTCATCAAAGGTGATAATGGGCCCATTGTGAAACACAGGATAATAGAACACATACAACAACATCCAGAGAAACGAATGATGCATCTTCTCTTTAGCCCAGCAGTACTCTAGGCTGAAGCTTGTGTAGTAGAGACAGCGGACCGTCAAGGTAAAAATGAGCAAGTAGTACTCATTTTCACTGGCATACCAGCCCCTCTGTAAAATAAAAGCAGACAGAAAATTACAGTATACACTCCTGCCCATGAACCTGTGAAGATGAAAAACATTTTTCGTGGCGGATTTACATGTCATGCCATTACAACAACAATTCTTGTAACATTTATTATTTATATCGCTCTTACTCCTGAAGCAATCCTTGGGTATCACTGTTATTTTTAGGTCACTGTATTGTAAGTAGGTTCCTTCAGCTAGAAAGATGGGATACCTAAATATATAAATAAAATGAATTGCACAAAGTACCTCCAGAGCATCCTAATTTCATGGATAGGAATTGCAATGAACATCTAAATTTTGACAATCTTAAGACCCTTTGTATCCCTTTAAAGTCTGCCTTGTTGCAGTTCATGCCTCTGCATTCTATTCCCATGATTATTTGCACTAACTTTTCATCATTCTGTTTACTGTATTACACTGTTCATGCTTGCACCCACATGGGCATCCAACATACAAACTGTCTGCTAGTGTGGTTTTGTCTGCCCAGTGGGCTTTGCATCAAAATGTTCCTTTGGAGTTACAGCTCCTCAGCAAACAAAAACAAACAAACAAAAAAACACCCAAAAGAAAAGGAACAGGAGGAAAAGAAGAAAAGGTTGTTAGGGCCTGATCATATGTAGATCTCTCCCCCCCCCCCCCGGTAGAGGATTTTTTTTGTTTTTCTTTTTTAAAAAAC